ACTAATGATCTTAAGCTGACACTCCAGATACAAGCAGCTCAGCTGTTGGCAATATTCTTGGTGTCAGCCACTGCTCTTTTGTGCTTTGAAGTCTGTGTGTTGCTTTCCCCTGTTACTGCTTAACATTTGAATCTTGAGAGAGGTGTGACAAGTGGCTCTGTGTAGCAGCACAGAGATGAGTCTCTGTATTTATGCACAAACTCAAGCAAGCAGCAGTACAACCAGCCTGAAACTGTTTCCCTAAGTTACTTTCCCCACCAGCCCCTGAGTACATGAACATGGATGAGCTGCAAGAAGGAAGCAGTAGATGCTATAGTGACTATAGTCAAAACAACTTCATTATCTTTTAAAACTGCCTCTAGAATTCAGGCTGAGTTCAGAGCACTGCTCTGATCCCACTGGAGATTTCCCTTTTTCATCCCAAAATAAACACATGCTTCTATAGTAATCTGAGAAACTGCCCAGTGCAGTCACATAGGGATTTGGCCTTGCTCACAGTAGTCTGTGTTGAAGTCTAATGCTGGTTTTAGAAAGCATTAAAGTTGCCTGAGCAATTTGTTAACCCATTGCAACTAAACCTGTCACGCACCTCTGCATCGTCCCTCTGCTCTCTGTGTTGGCTGTGACATGGAGGGCTGTCCTCATGACCCCTTGCAGAGCAGCTGTTAAGCTACAGTTTGGCACAACTTCTGGAGGATCCCTCAGAATCACAGGTCATGCAACGTTGTGTCATTAGTCATGCTTTTGTGACCACTTGCAGTATTGTTAACGGTTTCTTTAGTGTCCTGGAACAGAAGGCAATAAAAAACCAACCTATCTGCTGTAGGACAATGACTCTTTATGATTAGATTAGATTAGATTAGATTAGATTAGATTAGGAAGTGGGGGAGGGAGAAGCTCTAACTGTTTTGGGGTCACTGCCTTGCAGGGCTATGCCTGAGTGCCTTTAGGCCAAGTTGTAAAGCCCTGTGTTATGAGTGTTCATGTATTTCATGTGCTCCTCTGCTAAAAGAGCCTTTCCCAATATTCAGTGGACCATTGTAGTCTTCCTTGCGTGTCTCATTTAGCAGTGGCTGTACTTAAGTATTGACAGAAGGAGGAAAACATACGTTGTCAAAGTACTTACTTGTATGTGGCTTTTGCACATGTGCTCTACTCCTGCTTGATTCTGCTCTATAGCTGTCCATGGTTGGCTGTCCCAGAAATTAGCTTCTGGGGCTGGCTCTCCTCTGTTCTCCGTGAGAAGTCTGTGTCTGCCTGAGACCACAGCCCCCAAAATCAGCAGTGAGAAGGATCTCTCTGACCTGCAGCTACTGGAAGGAAGGTTCCCCCCACCTTCTTTTGGTTTCTCTAGGCACATCCTAGCCTGACTTTGTTCTTGTTATCTGAGTATTATCCAATGTGTATTGTGCTGCAGTGGGTGCCACTGGAAGAGCAAAGATACTGGTTCCAGTTGTCTCAGACTTAAGGAAGCTGTAAACCATTATCTCTTTCCTGTTGTTGATAATACTGATGGTATTTCCATGTTTGCTGACTCTTCTGTCCTTTAATAAAATATTCTACTCTCATGTGAGATGTTACTGACACTTCTCAGTATTGACTAAAATTGTATTTCTGTGAATGTGAATTTCTGGAATATACCAGAGCACCTCAGTGCAGTGGGTGACAGGAAGAGGATGTAACTGTGCACATCAAACTCTGGTTTTGTGTCTGTGTCCCTGGGTGGGCAGAAAGCAGCTCAAAGCAGGAGTGTATAGCATGTTCATGCCCAAGAGAGTTTTGCTATAAAAAGCCCATCCAAGTGGGCTGAAGTAAAGCTTCCTGGTTTTGCAAGTGACCAGCTACTCTTGTTTCCTGATATGTCCCACAGCCTGGTCCTTTTGTTAGCTGCACTGAGTGAGTGAAAGTTAAAATGCTCTTGGGGTTTGAGCATGCATTCCCTGTGAAGGCTGAAACATTTGAAGCTAGTCAGAACCTTACAGGAGATGAGGAGGATGGTGGCAAAAGCTGCTCTATTACACAAGTAGTTGGAGGTTCCTAGGAGAACTTCTGCCACCATAATAAATCTAATGCTTTGGACCTAGGAGAAAATGCCAGTGTAGCCAGGACCTCTGCTGTGGTGGCAGATGTGTTCTTGTTGTGACCTGGCACAAGACAGCAAGTCTTGTCCCTGCCACAGATGTGAAGAAGCCTTTCCAGCTGCCTTGGCACTAGAAGACTTGCCTTGTAGTCAGGAGTGACTAAGCTGTGACTGTTTTTACTGGGATGAAGCAGGGACTGAATATGAATAAGGGTGATCAGGGCTTACTTGAAGGAAATGGAACTATTGGGAAGGATTAGGTAGTGGTGCTGGTGTCTGCCTGGCCTCGGCAGGCACAAGACCTTTGTCCTGCTGCATCTGACTTGTTACCATGAAGGTTTGAAATGCTGTCATGATGGAAATTTGATAGAGGAAATCCTCTTCCATCTTGCATATGATCACTCCTTTTGCAATATATTGCAATTTTTGGCATACGGCACAATGGCCATATTTCCTTACCTATTCCTTCACTGTAGGTGGAGTTGAAGTAAGAAATTTGGTCTCCTGTGTTCTTGCCTTGCTTTGGCAAGAGTAGTGCTGCCTGTGGTTTTTCCTTCAAGCTTGTGTGTTGCACTAAGCAAACTTGCATGTTTGAGGGCAGGTGGTGGAGTTGGGAGATGATCTGCTGTATTCTTACTCTGGCACACTTCATGGAGATTCATCTGTGCTAGGGTGCAGATGCCTGTATTTACCAGGAACCAACTGCTTACTGCAACGGACTTACCTCAGTTCTCATAAACAGGCCCTTCTCGCTGTCCTGGAGATTGCAATCATCTCCATGGTGAGAGCTGCACAAACAGAATGGAAGATAATGACCTCGTGGATTAAAGGGCAAAAGGAGGTTTCCTAGTACATGAAGCTTGTGCTGATTGCCCTGGTTCTAGATTGAACCAGGAAAGGCAGGCAGCAAACCAGAAGGGCTCTCTGCAAAATTCATAGGGCCAGGAGGTGCATTACTCAGCCCTGCAGTGTGGAGAGAGAAAAACAGCACCTGTTTGAGGAACTAAGGTGTGGATTTGATTTGTCCATGGACATGCCCTTTGAGCATATTTGAGAGGCAGTAAGCCCATCTAATAAAAACTACCGAAATCTGCCTTTAACTGGCTCTGCTTACCTGCCTTTGATGTGGTTAAAGGGAAACAGGGCTGCACTATGTCCTCCTTGTTAGCCTGGAAATACAAAGACCAGCAGCATCCCAATGCTTGTCTGGCAAACACCAGCAGAACCTTGCTGTTCCTGCCCTTGCCCCAGAGGGCTGGCCTTCAATTCCCTTTCTTCAGTGCTCAGGTACATGTGAGAAGCCCAAACCTCATCAGAGCTCCAACTCCAGATGTGCACAGCTCATTCTGCCATGCTGGTTCAGGCCTGATCTTGTTTGGTTTGGAGCACCTCCTGCCAAGGAACTCCTTTGTGTCGTTTCCATCATCTAACTCTAGCAGTTCTAGCAGTGAGAGCAAGGGAGAGTAAAATGCCCAGTACCCTGCTCTTCCAGTATCTGTGGCTCTTCCCTGTACTTCCAAGGAACATTTGCAAAGGCAACTTCTGCTGACTGAAAAAAAACCATCTCGTGTCACTTGATGTTTTTCAGGTTCTCAGCTTGGTTGGCTTTTGGTTTAGCTGGTGGTGAAGGTGCCTAGAGCATCACTCATGTTCTTGCTGGGGACACTTGGTATTTATATGATGCCTTGATCCCTTGCTTGGACCTTCTGCTTGGAGAAGGCCACCAGTCTTTCATGTATTCCCAGTCATCAGACCAGCTGTGTCAGCTGTCTGCTCTGGCTGGTCTGGGAGAACTAGGTGGTGTTCTTTCCCCTCTACTCTGCACTGGCGAAGGCCTCAGCTGGTGTGCTGTGCCCAGTTCTGGGTTCCTCAGTGCAGGAGAAACATGGGCACACTGAAGAGAAGGGCCACAAAGATGATTGTGTTGGTGGAACTTGTGCCAAGTGCTGTGGTTCCAGTTTGAATATCTCATTGCTGCTGTGCCAAAGACTGAGTCTGCTAATCCTGTACAACATAAGCAGAGAACTTGGTTAGGAATGTCATAACTTGGTCTAATGCAAAGAAGTTTGGAGCTTTTGGTGGTGGAGGTGTGAAAAACCTTGTGTGTAGCACTGTGAGGGTGCGAATGAAGGTCATGCCCAAGCTGCCAGCCCTGTCGTTTTTGGAAGGGAGTGGGACTGCAGAAACATGACCCTTCCTCCTTTCTCTTGACATGTTGGGACTGTGTTGCTGGCACTGAAGCTGAGCTTGAGTCAGGCTACCTGCACATTCCCCTTTGCTAGTGTCCTACCACATACACTTTTGCACATGCTCTGTGCAGAGCATGACAGTGTGAGGACAGCAGTGGGAATGCTAGAAGGACAAGTGTTCCCAGCTATCTTGTAGGCACATGTGGGGAAGCTGGAGCCAGGCTCCCCTTGGAGGTGTGTGGGGTTAGGATGAGAGACAGTAGACAAATTACCATGGGAGATCGTTAAGAAAAGACTTTTCATTGTGAGTGTGGTCAGACACTGAAGCAGAGCCCTGGGAGATTGTGAGATATACATCCTTGCAAATAATTCAGAGTTCATATAGACAAAGCCCTGAATGGACAAAAGCCTGAGCAGCCGGAGCTGGCTGTGCTTGGCGCAGGGTATTGGGCCAGAGACCTCCAGAAGTCCATTCTAATCTAATACTCCTCAGTGGTAGGTAGGCATTGCCCAGATGGTGGTGTTCAGCTGTAGCATAAATCACAGCCTGGGATTATGCATGACTGCCTTTTCCTAGGCTGGCATGATAAGCAGACACTAAAGAAATGCTTTACTATTTCTTTGTGGGAAGGATGCATCTTTCTTGAGACTTTCACAGGGAGCTGATGTGTGTCTGGTGCTGGGTTTCATATTATTTGTATTGTTTCAGTCTTCCTCTTTCACTCCTCCAGGTACAGCTACATGATTGACAATGTCATTCTGCTGATCACTGGAACACTACACCAGCGTTCGATCTCCGAACTGGTGCCCAAGTGCCATCCCCTGGGAAGTTTTGAGCAGATGGAAGCTGTGAACATTGCTCAGACGCCTGCGGAGCTCTACAATGCAATCCTGGTGGACACTCCCCTGGGTGAGTAGAGCCTTTCAAAATACCTCTCAGCTGTGTGTGGTGGACCAGATGTCCCTTTCTCCCCTGTCTAACTAGCTCCAACTACAGCCTAAGTTGTGCTCCAGGAAGACAAAGCGGTGGGTAATGCACGGCTGTGGCTGTACTGCCTGTGGTGGCTGGGCTTGAGTTCAGGTTTATGCCTGTCCTATGCCAGTTTTTCCTCTGGAGGACCAGCTAGCTCTCTCTACCCTTCAATCAGTATCCAGACCATCACAGTGGTAGTCCAGACTGCTGGAGAGTCTGGTTTGTGTGAGCCAGGCCTTGAGCTTCCATAGTGAAGTGCTGTTGGGTCTTTTGCTGGGACGAGTCTCTTGATTTCCAGCAGTTCTGGTTGGATAATTGGGTAATTTCTTGTAGGCAATTTTTGTAGATATTTACAGAGGTCTACACATGCCCAGTCTTGTTCTGAGGTTACTAAAATTAGCACTAGTTAAATGAAAGCTATTACATAAAAAACCAAACAAACCAAAACAACCACAGCAAAACAAAGAAATCTCCAAAAGCCTTTTAAAACTCTTTGTGTAGCAGGATCCTGCACAGAGGTGTACTGTCTCAGGGCCACAGGCTCCCTCAGC